TAGGGGTTTCTTAACGCCTCGGTGCGTCTCATCGAGCGTCCCGGGCACAGTCAGGTGATGCGTGTTTTCCCTGATGAAACTAAGTGGCGGGTAATGCTCTTCCACGGCCGCCAGCAGGACGGAGCTAACGCAGCGCAGCTGCGGCCGGGTCGACGCCAGCACCAGGCCGGGCCCTGCCCCAGGAGGCACCTCTCTGCCCTCTGGGCCTTGTCCTCACTCGGTAACACTCTGCGCACAGAGCTGTGAAACTTGATTTCGTTCCTCCAGAAGAGACTAGAGATTCCTGATTCACAGCGTTACGACAAAGTCACTTGTTCTGTGGCTTAACAGAAAGTTCTTTAATGTTTCCTGCAATAATGAGACCCCTGCTTTCTCGTCCATAAATATGTTAATATCACTAGAAGGTCTGATCTAAGCACAAGGTGGGTGAGATGATGCACCTCAAGGATGGGGGTCCCTCTTGTCAGGTGAAGACCGTTGTGAAAGGGCGGGGGGGGGAAAGCAGCCCTCTGTGGGGCCCGTCGCTCCTCTCCAGCCTCCCGGGTGAAGGCAGCAGCGTGTCCAATACCTCGCGCTTCCTGAGGGCCGAGTCCTTGGCCACGCTGAGGCTTCCCTTGGGGAACGAGAATTGACAGACATGGTCCCGGAGCCTCCCTCACAGAGCTTGCAACGTCCGCAGGGAGCTGAGCCGGGCTCCCTCCCGTCCAGCAGGTGACAGCACGCCTGCCCCGCCCCAGCTCGCGCCCTGCTGGGTCCCAACACAAAAACCAGCATGGTGTCTACCAGGAGAAATATGCTGACGGGCTAGACTCGTAGCCAACATAAAATTATAACCACAGGTTTGTAATTTAGAGAAGATGTAAAATTACAACTCAACACGATGAGGTTTTTTTAAACTAATGATTTTATTGTTTCTATAAAAATGATACATCCTTGTCATAAAATATAGTCATAAAGAAAAACACAGGGAAGAAAGCCACGTACCCTCAAACACCCCATCACCTGGGTACCACTGACCGTTGCTGTGCAGTGCTACAAACCTCTCTCCGTATCTGTGTGAAATTGGGACGTGTCTAGATGGACAAGCACATTCCAAGAACGGGGATCGCGCCACACATGCAGTGGCTGTTTTTAAACATTTTCTGTTCCTGTTTATTAAGTACAAGCCATTCTTTGTGTCATTTCCCAGAAAGAAGTGGCAACTAAGTGAGCACCAAAGATTTCAGAAAAAGTTGGGATTTATTTAATAAAATTGAGCCCCGAGGAAATCCCATCCATGACTTGGTTGCTGCAGATAATGTAGAGAAGCCTGCGCAGTGCCCCAAGAGCACCGTGTCCCCTGCAGCTGCCCAACTCCCTCGGGGACACAGGCACCTGCTGAGGTCCCCAGCTCTGCAGCAGCCACTGGGCCTCAGACCGGGGGACCCCCTGCTGCTCCAGGGCCCCTACGAGAACTGCTGCCGATGTGCTAGTGGCAGAATACTGTCCCCAGAGACATCGCATCCTCATCCTTGCAGCCTGTGAATATGGCAGCTTCCATGGCAAAGGGACTTTGCAGATGGATTACATTAAGGGTCTTGAGATGGGGAGATCACCCGGGAGTACTGATCACTGTGGTCCCTGTAACGAGGGAAGCACGAGTGTCAGATGCTGTGCTGTTGGCTGGGGACAGAGGGTCGGGCCACCTGACAAGGAGCGCAGGCACCCGACAAGCTGGCGAAGGTGGAGGCAGATTTTGCCCAGACCTCCCAAGGGGACCAGTCCTGGGGACCCGTTGTAGATTTCTGACCTCCAGAAGTCATATGAAATATGTTTGTGTTGCTTTCAGCCCGAGTTTGCGCCATCCGTTAGTGCAGCAACAGGCAGCTGACACAGGGAGCTTCAGGGAGGGAGGATCTGACTCGCTCGTGAAGCCCGAGCGGGCCCAGCCGCGCACCCCGAGCTCTCCCAAGACGAGAGCTGTGTGAACAAGGCCCAGTGCATCAGCCCAGGGGCTGCGGGAGCCAGACCAGGGAGAGGCTCCTCCGGGGTCCGGGTCAGTCCTCACCTTCCCAGGAAGACAACTCTGGGGCCAGGCCTGCAACTGGGCCTTTCCTGGTTTATCTCATGCCCAAGAACACTTGGAAAATGTTCTGCAGATTGTCCTTGGGCACCTTCTAACAAGGCTATTGGCTTATTGTGACAAGCACACATGAGAAGTAAAATGAATTCTCTACAATGATGAACTTATCAAGAATTATTTCATGGCAGGGAGACAAAACGCCTAGATTCTCAGGCATGGCATTTTTTGTAGCCCAGGCCTAGAAAGCCAAAGGCAATGCCAGGAAGCTGCTGCTCCCTGTGGCACTGTCTTTGAGCCATGTCACTGCCTCTCCCCTGACCTGGTGAAACCATTTATGTCTGCATCAGCCCCACTTGAAATTCATCGAATGCATTTCAAAATGAGAATTTACTCAATTTTGTATACAGAAAGTTCAACTGCAAAGAGTTCCATACAAAATTTTTTTTAACTTTCCATTTCAAAATAATTTTAGACTTCCAAAGAGTTGCAAAACTAGAGAAGAGTTTGTAGACCAGCTTCCCCAAAGAACATCTCGTGTAGCACCGCTGACACATACTGGCGATTGTTTTGTAGCACGTCCCTCAGTTTGGGTCTGTCTGGTGTCTCCTCTGATCACCCATTTTGGGCAAGGAAACCAGAGGTGACGCCGCACCATCAGCCTACCTCCTTTGGCCAAGGCGGCCTCCACGGGGACGTCGCCACTGCTCCTTTGTAAACACCAGGCACCGAGAGGGTTTCCCAAGACTCGCAGGCACCCTGCTTCCTGTCACTCCACCCACTAACCTTAGTGTCCGCTGACGGTTCTGGTCCGCGGCCATCCTCGCGGTGGTTTGTCAAACAGCGACTTTCTGTTCCCTTCATTTCTTCCACCTCAGTCAGAATAAGGGAGACTGTCCCTTCTCCTAATTCATGTCAGTACAGACTTACGGACACTAATTTTTTCCGTGGGCTCTAACCCACTGTAGTCATTATCTACTTTCTTGCTGAAACTGTCCCGGATTTGGCCGGGGAGCTCCTGTGTTCTTTCAACAAGCCCTGTGGTCTTTTCCTGCAGTTCCTCACCTTCTTGCACAGGACATCCTGGGCCCACCTCGCACTTTCCCCGCCTGGTTTACGCACACACACCCCCAACAGCACCCCACGGGGGTGGAACCTTTTTCGGTTTCAGTTACCAGCAGTCAACCATGGTCCAAAAATATTAAATGGAAAATCCTGGCAGCCACCCACCCCACTGGTGATGGCATTAGTTTCTGGTTTACCCTTCCTGAATTTCTTTTGTACCAAGGGGCAGGTATTTGTAGTTTCTTAAAGCCCTCCCTTGTTAACAGACTCTAGATGCTCTTAGCACTTTGCTTTTTTCGCTTAACAGCATGTTATGGGCCTGAAGTTGCTCCACTCATCAGTTCCGCCTCCCTCCCTCCCCCATCCCGTGCACAGCTGCGCCGGAGCCCGCTGGGTGGGTGCCCTGCCGTCCACACAAGCACTTGCGCGTGAGGCATTTGGGTGGCTTCAGCACTTTGTAATTACAAACACTGCTGCAATAACTAACTTTGTGCACATATGCGATATGCTGCCAGCTCGGTGTGGTTTGGTGAAACAAACCAGGACTTTTCATAAACTAAGCACATTTAGACTGCGGCAGAGTCAAATACTGAACAGTGACCACACACGTGGTGACAATGCTGGGGGCCACACGGAAGTGAACCCAGTGATGGGGGGGTAAGTGATATGAGGGGTCTAACCAAGAAAGGCCACCACGTGGGCCACCACAGAGGGCCTGTAAGGCAGAGGGCTGGACATGGGCCGAGAAGCCTCTGCCACCCGCAGGCCAGAGCTGGGCTGGCTGTCCCCACCTGCTGGGGCTTGGAGAAGACAACCCCACCAGGGTCACTGCCCAAAAAGAACATGCCCAGGATCCCCCCTCACCAGTCCCTCTCACTGACCAAACAGGGGCCGCCCCTTCCCAGCAGCGCCTGGGCAGGGGGCAGGTGTGGGGCAAACAGGCCCAGATGTGCACAGCTCTCGCATTCCACCCACGATTTCAGACCCTGGCCCACGTCAAACTCACCCAGACATCCTGACTGAGCTGGGGCCGAGAACCGCCACGCCGGGCGCTCCTGGGCCCCGTGCGCTGCAAGGCCACTGGCCCCACACATCCTCGGAGGGCCCTGGGCAAGCACTGGCCGACACAGAAGTGTGGGTCCTCAGAGTGAGACGCAGACTGATGTTCTACTTTCAATTACAATAAGTGAGTTATTGTAATTAAATAGCTAGCTTTATTAAATACAGTCTGATACAGATCAGAAAATGACCCCTTTGATTATAAAGATATTTGGTGTTCAGGAATAACCAGAAAAAAATCAGGAAGTCAAATATGTCCAAAGCCAAATGATTTCTAACTTCCTTTTCTGTATTCTACTTTTGTTTTTTTAAAAAAAGGGAAATGAACTGGCATATATGAGTACAAAAAGGAAGCCCACTGTGCTAGGGAATCTTTATTTTCTGAATCTCTGTGTACAGAGCAGACTGAGGTCTGTGCACATCTGGCACGCTGGTGTTGAAAAGCTACTCAGTGCTGCAAACCCAGCACTACACAAGGGCCCAGGTCCCCGTGGCCGACAGACTCACGCTGCATCCGCACCTCCGCTGGGGCCTCCCTGGGAACCCGCCCCACGTGTGGGTTAAGGATCAAACCCCTCCCTGATGGGAAAACGAGGATCTAAAAGGAGTAATAACTTTTGAAAATAATTGAGGAGCTTCACAAGATAAGCCGCTTCCCTAGTGACGAGGCGTCTCCATGGGCCTGTCCACCCGGGCTCCACGGGAGTGTCTCACGGCACCTGAAGGCCCAAGCCAGGGCCCAGCTGCGTAGGCCTCCGGGGTCGAAGGAGGCAGCAGTGCCCTCCAATGTGGGCGACCGCTGAACACAGCCCAGGGCTCTTCTCATCAAAATTCATTTTTTGCCTCCGATTTTCCATTTATCAAATCTCTAAATCCGAGTTTCTCCAGCGGCTCTTGAGCCATCAATTGCCTAGAAGAAAAATGGGGAGCTGTCAGGGCAGAAGGCTCAGGGCTGCCAGCGGGTGTCCCCGCAAGGCCATCGCTTCGCCCCTAAACCCGGGGCTCCTGTCATCCCCACTTTACTTCTTGGGAAAACAGACCCCAGAGAGCAGCCCTCTTGGCCTGGGCCCTTGGGCCACACCCCTCCCACGGGGCCACGAGGACGTGCCACCCAAAGCCACACTCCGAGTGCTGCCCTGCGGGGGCAGGTGTGCACCTGCAGACTCAGGAGGGCAGCCGTGGAGGGCGCAGACAGGGCTGGACATGCGCAGTGCGTGTCCACGCAGGAGGGCCTGAGCTCCAGGGCCCAGAGTGGAGCCAGGCTGGGCACAGACGGCGAGGAGTCTAAGAACTCCTCACACCTGGCTGCCAGGTAGCTGTGAGGACACACCTGAGGGGGCAGGAGGGCAGAAGCCACAGTTTAATGATTCATGAGCCTCACCTGTAACCCTGCTACTCAGACACAGGGTACGCGGGTCCACTCACTCCAGCTCGGGCGGCACGGCCCAGCGCCAAGGCTGGCTCCTGCTCCTGGACCCACCCACTGACCCCACACGATGTCCCCTTTTCTACAATCACCTGTGTGCCAGCCTCCGCTGTGTGGGTTTAGTCACAGCCAAGACCCAGACGCCCAACACCGAGTGCTGTGCTGGGCCTCCCGCCTCTCCTGCCCCCCAGGGCTCACATTCCAGGGCAGAGGACCTTGCTGGTTTGCTTCGTTGGGGAGTGGGGGGGGGGGGTGAGGGTGGTGACTCTACAGCCAGATTCCCTTAGCCTCGGGCCAGCCCCGGCCCTGGGCACACGCCAGCCACCCTCGCCACCTCTGTGCTCTCACGATGAAGGTGCGAGTTGGTGGGTCTATTCTGGATTTAACACAAAACTTCCAACCCAGGGCCTGGCACCCGGGAAACCCCGCCGGTGCCATTGTGCTCCTCTGGGCCTCCACGAGACCTGGCAGGTGCTGTCTACTTGAGAAGACCCCTTCATGTCAGAAAATGAAGAAGAGCTTTGGACAAGGTGGCGAGTCTTGGCTGGAGAGACCCAAGTGTGCCCGGACTCCTCCTGTCTCAACTCACCTGCACACGCCTGTGGGCCAGGCAGGCAGCTGCAAGCCCAGAGGGCAGAATCTAAGACAGTGGCAGCCCTGCCGCTGTCCCCTGGGCACACGGCCACACACTGGCCTCCGAGCACTCTCTGCTGACCAGGATACCACCACAGGCCTGTTTACGTGCGTGGCACAGAGGGAGGGAGAGGGGCTCAGAGTGCAGGCGGGAGAGAGAGGGGGGCTCTCTCTGTGACATCATGTCTGAGGCATTAAATTCATGATTCAGTGCAACTGAATTTTTATACACTCCATATTCTTAGGACAATGATAATGACAACGAACACTCACTGATGCTCACCCTCAACCGTGTGGGGCCTTCTGAGGACGAGCTCCCTCACCCTCCCAGCAACCCAGTCAGCGGCCCCATCACCATTCCCCGGGGGGCTGCTTGGCGCCGGCCTGAGCACTCTGTGACGGTGGCTGTGCAGCTGCCCCACCAGCACATGTCACAAACCCCTGCCCACTCCCCAGGATGGGACCTAAACTGAACTTCTAAATAACCACGGAGGCTTAAGATCTTAGCTCGTATGTGCATGCGTTGTTGTCTTTGCCAGCAACTCGGATTGCTGGAATCCCAATCTTAATTTTTTCTATGAGAAAGTGCAGTCATCTAAAACACATACACTCTTACATCAGGCCAACATGGTCCAACTCCTCACGAGACAACTTTGAAAACTCTTACTGTTGTCCATTTTCTTAAAAGATGCACATGGAAGTAAATGGGGGTAAAACAACATCTGGGATTTCAGTACAGAAGGAAAAAAGGAAGGAAGAAAACGGGTGGGGGGTGAAGCAGCAGGTGTGTGGGATCCAGACACTGAGCCCGGGTGCCAGGCTGTCCTCCACTTCTCTGCATTTGATCATTCTTGTGCGCACCCACGCAACCAAAACTCTACAGTCAAAATACAGACCACATCAGAAGCGTACCCCGCGCTTTCCCCTCAAGGCTGCCTGGCCCATCAGCGAAACCACCCGAAGCGGCAGCGTCCACATCCTCCCCTCACTGTCCTGGGATCAGGACACCAAGCTCGAGAGGCAGGAGGCTGCACACTGTCACACCCAGACAGAGACCAACTGCAAACCCTGTCCCTAAAGCCTGGCAGCACCAAGAACAGATTCTCTTAGTTTCAGTTTTCTAAAGATTCATCAATCTTGGCCAGGCGGGGTGGCTCATGCCTGTAGTCCTAGCACTCTGGGAGGCCGAGGTGGGTGGATCGCTCAAGGTCAGGAGTTCGAGACCAGCCTGAGCAAAAGCGAGACCCCCGTCTCTACTAAAAATGGAAAGAAATTATCTGGACAACTAAAAAAATATATATATACATATATACAGAAAAAATTAGCTGGGCATGGTGGTGCACACCTGTAGTCCCAGCTACTCGGGAGGCTGAGGCAGGAGGATCGCTTGAGCCCAGGAGTTTGAGGTTCCTGTGAGCTAGGTTGACGCCACGGCACTCCAGCCAGAGCAACAGAGCCAGACTCTGTAAAAAAAAAAAAAAAAATTCATCAATCTGGACAATAATTTAAACATGTGATTCCAACTGACATGCTATTTAAAGATGGTAAGGGCAGGACCCAGTGTGGCCCTCAAAACAAGAGCCTCAGGGGGGCCACACTGCTAAGACGGCCCATCACCCTTAAAGTCCCAAATGTCCATGCTGATAACCCTCACACACTGGTGTGGCCTGAAAGGTCCAAGAGATTTTCCTTGAGGGAAATGTTTGAGTACATTACGGGAAAATGAAAAGAGAGCTCAAAGGGGACTGGTTAATGTCAACCTGTCTTCAGCAGGCACAAGGTTGTCTAAAGACTGAATTCCTTAGTGAGCTAATTACGGCCTGAAAAAGCAAAAATAAAAGTTCCCACCACCATTATACAATTATACGTTACATGCTTTTTTGCATTAAAGTTTAAAATAGCTCTTGTTTTAAGTAAAAGCTGTATGGATCACAGTTAGAAATGTTTTTGCTTGTTTAAAAGTGTGCTCTGTCTCTGTGTGTCTGTCAACTAAAAAAAAAGTGAGCTCTGGTGCATTCTAGTTAAGACAGGAAGAATCACTCATCTTTCATCCTGTCTTAAATAACCTATTGTCCTCCCTGTCACATTCCAAACAGCTCTATGTGGAACAAAACAACACAGTGCATATTTTTACGGTTCTGCGAATGTAAAAGAAATAAACTGCATACCCACAACCCTCAATCTGTTGGCTCAGTGAGCATTTTGTAATTTACAATTCTGAAACCTTGATGACAGATCAGTAGCACCCAATTTGGAAAGAAAATGCTCTGAGGAATGCAATCACGTATAACGCTGTCACTCAAGAAAAGGTTCCCAAGATTGCTAAACAGCTTTTAGGACAATTTCATCTGCTAAGCCTCATTTTCAAGGACAAACATTTCTACAGTTCTGAAATACGCAAGTTGTTTGAAGGCACGGACACTCTGAAAAACAAATTTAAAAAAAAAAAAAAGCGCAAGTGGAACCCCAGGCCTGATATGATGAGGCCTACTGCAACAGCCTTTTGGGAAAAAAATGTTTGGTCGGAGAAGAGGAGTGGAAGTCCTAACTGTGAGCTAGTACTTGCCTGTTCATTCTGCATTCTAAATATTCTTTTGACTGATTTCGGCACAAAGCATTTTCAAAATTATTGTCACGGAGACACTTCATGAATTTCTCCTTAAAGCTCTTACATTCACCTAGAAGGAAAAAGAAAACAGTATCTTCCTTTAAAAGTGTAACACGATGCACCTACACAGCAGCCTTGAGAACTGTGCTACTTTTCCTCTCAAAGCTTGTTTCCTTCAGAAACATGCTTAACGTGGGGCTGGAAAAAAAAAATCTACAATGTGGTAAAGTCAGTCCAGTAAAAATATTAAGGGTGCACCCCAGACCTGCACCCCCACGAACCGGCACCCCACACCGCACCCCAAGCCCGTACCCACCCCCAGACCTGCACCCCCACAAACCGGCACCCCACACCACACCCCACACCGCATCCCAGACCCGCACTCAACCCAGACCTGCATCCCAGATATGCACCCCCACAAACCCGCACCCCACACCGCACCCGCAGACCATACCCGCCCCAGCCCTGCACCCCGACCACACCCCAGACCCGGCGCGCGGCCCGCGGACGGACGATCCTGCCCGCCCACCTCCGGCGCTCACCGAAGTGATCCAGCGGGAAGCTGCCCTTGTCCGGCGGCCGCGGCTGGAAGCTCTTGGTCCCGAAGTTCATGGCGGTCGACATGACTGCTGCGCCGGAGCCCGAGCCGCCATGCGTAGCGTACGCAGGGCGGCCGGCCAAACGCCGAGCGCCGAGCAGGCCCGGGGAACGCCGAGCGCCGAGCAGGCCCCGCCCCCGCCCGGCCCTGGACTCCGGCCACCGCCCCCCGGCCCCCGGCCCAGAGGACCCCGAGGAGGGCAGGCGATGCCCAGCGCTCTTCTGTCCCCTATGACGCTCGCAGCAACCCGGCGGCAGAAGCCCAGCCGCCATCCGGTGTGGATGGGGAAATGGGCTCAGAGAGGTTGGCAGGTCGCCCAAGGACACACAGCCGCCAGGGCCGGGCTTCCGCGTCCGCACGGAGCCGGGTGAGAACTACACTGTGACGGAGGGTGCGTTCGCCCAGGTGCGGCTGAGCGGCTCGAACACCAGAAACTTACTCGCTCTCAGCTCTGGGGCCGGAGGTCCAAGACGAAGGTGTGGACTTGGGGAGGGTCTGTCCCAGGCCTGTCGCCTCGCTGCCGGCGCCGTCACTCTCTGGTGCTCCTCGGCTCTAAAAACACCACCCGTCTCTGTCTCTGCTTCCACCTCCACCGGTGCTCTGTGTGCCTGTCTCCAAATGTCCCCTTTCCATAGGGACACCCATCATGCTGGCTTGGGGCCCCCAAATAACATCATCTTAACTAGCTACATCTGCAACAGCCCTATTTCCAGAAACGGTCATATTCTAAGGTATTGGGGGTTAGGGCTTCACCACAGGAATTGGGGGGGTCCGATTCAAGCTGTCACAGAATAAAAGTGTATTGTAAATGGTGCCGCCTCTGGCACTCGCTTATTATTGTTGTTAAGGCTCAGGGAAGCCCCCCATTCTTGCCCGCAGTCTCTGCCCAGTACTGTTCCCTGGGGACCCCCTGCCCACCCTGCCCCAGTTTCAGCTGGATGATGGAGGGGGTAGATCAGCCCTTCCGGAGCACCACGAGCTGCCATCCATCCGCCTGCCCACTTAACAACTGCCGTGCACCAGCCGCGTGCCAGGCCCTGGCAATACGCAAATCAGGTCCCCAGCAACGCAGAGTTCCTGCTGGGCCTCTCTGGACAAACCCTCTCACCCCCCAGCCCCTGAAGTGACCCAACAGCACTGTTGCTTCTAGTGTTGGGAGGAGCCAATTCTAGCAACTTCCCAGAGGGGCTGGAAGACAAGTGCCCGCCGAGGAGAACTCACAGCCCCTCCCCAGGGCCTGCCCTTCTTCAAGCCTGGCATAGACGCCCTCCAGGTTAGATTCTGCTCTGTATGCCCAGAGCCAGCCCGTCGGGCACCGAATGTTTGTGGACCACTAGGCGGGGGGGACCTCACTGCCAAGGCCCAAAGGGAGGGCCCAGAGCTGCTGGAAATCCTGGTCCAGTTGTCAGGGTTTTGATTGCCCTGGGGCTCTGAACCCACTTAAAACTACAAAGGGAAAATTGCACCTTGTTCTTGTCATACAAACAGCCGTTTTCTGGCTGGAACCAGGGCCTGCACACAGGGTTACTCATTAATACGCTTTCAGGGCTGCGAACAACAGCAGCTTTTACTGCATGGCAAACAGCTTCCCACTCGACTGCAGACCACTCAGCAGGAAAGGACGCCCCTCCCTGGAGGCCACCCTAAGCCTCCCCGTCTGGCAGGCCCAAGGACCCTGTGACCTGGAAGTGACAGCTAGCTCTTAACTGACTGTTCCCTGGCAAATGATTATTGCTTTATACAAGATCTTAGCTGGGAGAGAAGAGGAAGGAATTTCTTTTTGCAGTTCACAGATAAGAAAAGTGGAGAAGGAACCTTCTTTGAACCACGTATATGCTAGGCAGTTTCCACACGATGTCCCCAGAGCCTAGAACAGTGCTTGGCACACTTTAGGGACTCGATTAATAGTTTCTGGATGAACGAACCCAGTTAGGCAGGTATTATCCTATCTCACACACAGGGAAAGGAAGACTCAAAGGGGTCAAACCCCTTGCTCAGGATTGCACAGCCAGCGTGTGAGTCACCGACTGCTGCACGAACCCACCAACTTAACGGCAATCATTTGCTTTGCTCGTGAACTTGCCGTTTGGGCAGGTCTTGGGGGAGGCAGCTCCACTGTGGCATCGGTGGGACTGGAAGACCCACTCAATGGCACACTCCCACAGCTGGCAAGTCGGCACAGGCTGTGGTTTGGGAGCATGGCCACTGTTCTGTAGACCTCTGCAGGCTGTGTGGGCTTCCTCACAGCATGGTGGCTGGGTCCGGAGCACAAGCGACCCAGAGAACCAGGTGGCAGCTGCATCACCTTTCGTAATCCAGCCTCAGAGGTCACATAGGATTGCCTCCACTGTGGTCACAAGTGTCCACTCAGATTCAAGGGCAGGAACACAGACCCCTCCTCTCAATGGGAGAACAATGTTGCATTATACAAAAACAGCATGTGGTTGGAAGTTCTGCTGTGGCCATCCCCGGAAGCTGCCACCTGCTACAGCTGACAGGTGCAGGGCTGAGTTTGGAACCAGGTCTTTCTGACTCCAACCCCTCTGGGGGAACACACCCCCAACTTCTGGTGTTAGGGCCAGGTGTGACCTGAGCCAGCTGCTCTGTGTGGCCCCTGGCCCGGGCCTCTGACTAATCGGGTCTGACCAGAACAACCTCCGAGGCTTCTGCTTGAGCAACCAGGACGAGACGTGGGCACACGTCTGCAGGGCGCTGGCCGTCCACTAGACGTTGACAAAGGAGAAAACCCTTGGCTCGGCGATCCTGTTTCTAGAAGTGTATTTTACAGCATCCTGCACAACTGTGCACCAACAAGTATGCACACGGATATTTTTAGCAGGATGTTTTGTGACAGCCGAAGATCGAAATCAGCGTAAACGTGCATGCCCGGCCACACCCGTGGACCAGGCAGCAGTCAGAGGAGGTCTCTGTCTACTCCCCGGGAGCACAGTTACATTAAAAACAAAATGTGGAGCACGGCCCGAGAGAGGGAGGAAATACACAGGGGCACCAGGGAACTCTGGGATGACAGAGTTGACGCTGATGGTGGCAAAGGTTTCATGGGCACATACATATGTCAGAACTCACCAAATTGTACACTTTGAACACGTGGCTTATTGTACATCAGTAAAGCTGTTTTTAACAATGCCCCCCACAGCCGGGCGCAGCTATATCTCTCTTTGGAAGGGCACAGCAGCGGGGAGAGAGGCCCATGGCGTGCGTGTGCGTGCGTGTGTGTGCGTGTGTGTGCGATCTGTTTGAATGGAGAAAACCCCACACTTGTGTCCACACACAGGAGTGTCTGCCAGAGGTGGCAGTGACTTGAACTGTGGCCCCAAAGCCATGTCACCTGGGATCTGCAGATGGGACCTGACTTGGAAACAGGGTCTTGGCGCATGTAAGTAAGTAAGGCGAGGCTCTCGAGATGAGACCGTCTTGGGATCAGGGTGGACCCAAACCCAAGGACCAATGTCCTCGCACAGAAAAGAAGGCTCAGAGCAGCACAGAGAGGACGTCCACGTGAGACCAACGCAGAGAAGAGTGAGTCAGCTATGGGCCACGGATGGCCCTGGAGCTGGAGAGGGACCTGGAGCAGATTCTCCCTCAGAAGGAGCCAGCCCTGCAGGGCCGTGGCCTCAGCCTCGTGTGCTCCAGGGCTGTGAGGGGGCGCGTGGCTACGTGGCTGTTGTTTTAAGGCCAGTCTGTACTTTGCCGCGGCAGCTATGGGGACCTCACAGCTGTGAGTGGCGGGGGTCGTGCCTGCTCCTGGGGTGCACAGGTGCCGAGTGGGCTGGCCCGGGTGGACGGCACCGAGACCTGGACCGCGTGCCCAGCATGGCTTGTTCCTATGCCCAGGCCTCGCCCACCCAGAGGAGGACCCCTGTCCCCAGGCCCCCAAGCTCCCTGCGTCCTGCCTTCCCCGCCCAAGCCCCCGGCGTGGCCCCAGTGGTGCTCTGTGCCCACCCAGCTCCCCTTCCTCATGTCGGCCCCCCTTGCACATGCTGTTCCCCCTGCCGAGATGCCCTTCCCCTGTGAGCCTGGCAGGGCCCAACTCCTCTTTCCAGCCCTGGCTCTGACTCTGCATCCTCTATGCGTATCCCCTGCCTTCTTGCCTCCAACGCATCCCCGCCGAGCCTAGAGGCATTTTAAGTGGCAAACTCCCTGTCACCCCGGCCTTACCCATGGGACCCTTTTAGAATCCCTGTGCCACCAATTTCTGTAGTCCTAGCTTCTGGCAGAGCCTGGAACACAACGGGCGCTCAATAAGTGCTCCCTGAATGAATTAAGTGAACTTTACTGGGCAGGCAGAACTCCTGGGGCCTGGACACCCAGTAGCCACCTTGGTACCAAGCGCTCAGCACAAATGGCCCAGAGATCCCTCAGGTTATAGAGCTGCCCAGCCCCGGCCCCATGGCTGTACAACGGGATGGAGTAGTGAGCTCCCCATCACAGGAGGTGTGCAATTGCAGCTGGGGCTTCCTTTCATGGCTGATCGAGGGGGACAAACCTGGGAGGGGAGAGGGACTCGCTGCCTCTGCTCTGCAGTTTGTGTGGGGCACAGATGGCCCCCCGAGACAGCCCCGAGGGGAGGGAGAGGGGCCTGGCCGGCTGTGACAGGGTCGGGCTGCTCCTGTCGTGGCAGGCAGCACAAAGCAGGCCCAGCCACTTCTGGTGCCAACAGCCTGCCCGCCCCTTGCAGCAGCCGCCTCCTCCCCAGCCCAGCCCAGGGTTTAGCAGACAGGAGCGGGGCACAGAATGATGGGGGCGTCTGAACCCGGCCCCACCCCCGGGTGGCAGCCCTTCTTTGAAAAGCTGCTGATGGCCCCAGCGTCTCTGCTCCTATCCGCGGCCCCTCTGGGCACAAGGCACAGGGCTGCATGTACTCGGGAGATGTTTGCGAGGGTCCCTCGGGGGCGGCTCAGGGCCTGGGGAGGGTGGAGGCTCCTCCCTCAGAGCCAGGCCCGGGCCCCAAAACCCTGTGGGCCCTGGCTCTGATGGGGAGACGAAGGCAGAGGGGCTGGGACTGGCAAGTCCAACCGAGTTGAGGACAGAACAGTGTCTTTCTCCCTGGCCCCCCCCCCCCGGCAAACCACGGGGGCTGCAGGAACCCCCAGTACAGGTGGCCCTGTGGCCCCCGTCCCTGCCCCACATTCCACTCGGGCCTGGGGCTGCGCCTGCAAACTGCTCGTTCCACATTCTCGGGGTGGTGGTGGGTGGGGCGTGGCGGTGGGTGGGGCGTGGTGCGCCCTCCCTGGAGGGAGGCCCCATGCAGCTGAGGGCAGTGGGGCCCAGGAGGGGAGCTGGGGCCTCACCACCGCAGTGCTCATGGCCCACCTGCTCCTGCTGCTCCTGGGGCTCCTGGGGCTCTGGGGGCTGCTCTGCGCCTATACCCGAAAACCCTCCTCGGCCCCCCGATGGCCCCCTGGGCCTCGCCCACTGCCCCTCGTGGGGAACCTGCATTTGCTGCGTATGTCCCAGCAGGACCGGTCACTGATGGAGGTAGGTTGGAACAACCTTGAGGAGCAGCAGTCTGGAGGGCTCCCTGGAGGAGGCAGCATTTGCCTGCTAAAAGCCTGCAGAGAGGGGAGGGCAGGTGCTCTGCAGCTCTGTGTCTGTCTGGACACAGAACCTGGACCGCAGCAGAGGGGCCCTGGGGCAGGGTGAGGCCTGCTGGGGGCCCCTGCCTTCTGGGGCTGGAGTTGAGGGCAGGCCGCCCTGCCCCACAGCCAGGAGCTGGCCAGGGGTGAAGCAGGACACAGACCGTCCCACCCTGGTGGCCCAGCCCTGTCCCCCACCCATAGACACAGTGTGCTACCCCCCAAAGCGCCCCCATTTGGTCTCCGGGGACCTTGCCAGAGACCTGCCAGGCCCCCAGCTGCAGCTCCTGTTTCCAGAACCGCCCGTACGCCTGGCGACCTCCCCCAGGCAGGGAGGAGGGGGCTGCCCCGCTGGGTCCTCTCCAGGAGCTGATGATGACCCACGAAGCGGCTGGGGCAGAAGCAGCCCCCACTTCCCTGGGACAGGCCCACTGGGCCCCACCTGGCTGGAGGCACCAGGCTCAGGGGTGCGGGTCCCACCCAGCGTGTGGGGGCCCAGGGGGAAGCAGGCAGGCCCAGGTCCAAGTCCAGCTACGTCCAGCGCGCACGTGCCCAGCAGCACTCACGTCCCGCTCCCAAGCCCTGGTTGCTCCTCCGCAAGACGGGGAGAGGGCAGCCCTTACCCGGTGGCCCTGACATCACTGTTCCGAGTCTTCACTCATCCCAGGTCAGAGCCCTGGACCCACCTGTCGGCCTGGCCCTGCTCTGTCCTCTGCTGTGGGTTGGGGTGCCGCGGGCCGAGCTGGGTCTCGGAGGGCTGGGCCCATCAGGCCTGCCCTCTGCACAGACCCTGGCCTTCAAGAACGTGCCATCCTAGCAGATGGCCCCATCCTGCTGCCTGGTCTTTGAGCTTGAAAGAGCCCCCAAGAGTTTCTGCTGAAAAGAAGAACCCATGCCAGCCACGCCCAGCAGCAAGCGGTGGCACCCCCTCCCTAGAGGAGCTGGGGGTCTCCCCCCATCACGTCCACCCCCACCCCCAGCACAGGCCCCGGGACTGGGGCTGCTGGGTGACCCTGACCCCTGCCTACCCTCCAGCTCTCGGAACGGTACGGGCCGGTCTTCACTGTCCACCTGGGGCGCCAGAAGACGGTGGTGCTGACGGGGCTCGCGGCGGTGAGGGAGGCCCTGGTGGGCACGGGGCAGGCGCTGGCCGACCGGCCCCCCATTGCCATCTTCCAGCTCATCCAGCGGGGTGGGGGTAGGTGTGCGGGGCTCCTGCCGGGGGAGGCGCAGCCCCAGCTCAGATGTCCACACAGGCCGGGTGCCCCAGGGACCAGCAGGCTGGGGTCTTCCCATCCCAAGTAAAGAGGGGCCAGGGCCAGACAGTGGGAGTGGCAATGGGGTGAGGCACCAGCCAGGCCCCTCTGCCCGGGTCAGCCCCTCCCTGTAGGCACCACCTGGGGGGCTCCAGTGGGAGCGGGGCGTGGCTCACCGGGGGCCCTGTCTGGCCCCCAGGCGTCTTCTTCTCATCCGGGGCACGCTGGAGGGCCGCCCGCCAGTTCACGGTGCGCACCCTGCACGGCCTGGGCGTGGGCCGGGGGCCGGTGGCCGACAAGGTTCTGCAGGAGCTGACATGCTTGGTGGGGCAGCTGGACAGCTTCGGAGGTGGGTAGGGGCCGTGGATGCCCCTTCTTGAGCTCATAACCAGGCCTGTGCCCCAGGCCGGCCCTTCCCTCTGGCCCTGCTGGGGCTCCCCGCGGCCCCCACCCACCCAAGTCTGTCCCCGCAGGCCGGCCCTTCCCTCTGGCCCTGCTCGGCTGGGCTCCCGCCAACATCACCTTCGCACTCCTGTTCGGCCGGCGCTTTGACTACCAGGACCCCGTGTTCGTGTCCTTGCTGGGTCTCATTGACGAGGTCATGGTCCTCTTGGGGTCCCCTGGCCTGCAGGTGAGAGGTCACTGCCCAGCCTCGGGAGGGGTGGAACCAGGAGCTGAGCGCCCCGAGATGGGCGGGAGGCAGGGCTGGGATGCCCAGCAGGTCCCCGCACCGCAGAGAGCGCCCCGCATTCGGGGTCGCCGTCCGTCCGCCAGACATCACTTGGCCTCAGAGCAGCTGCTGTGCTCTCTGGGAAGGGGGGGCTCTGCAGCAGGGGATCCCCATCTCCCCCACCCCCATCGGTAGCATGTGCGCCTGCCGGAAGGTGGGGGGCGGGGAGCAGGCATTTCTTCCCAGGGCTGTGGACTCCACGTGCCCTGGCCCCAGCTCTGACGACCGGCACCCCTTCTGGTTGTCATCGTCCTTCACAACGCCCCAAACCCACCAAAGTTGGTCCTTCTGATGTTCAGAACTCCTGGGGTCCGGGGTGTACATTTCATTCTTCAAAACTTAAAGTTTTGGTATTTTTAGCCATTACCACATTTAGCTATGCACTCGCCGAAGAGTACGCGTCCAGGTGTGACGTCCTATCTCCAGCTCATGGCCCTTCACCGCTGTGGTGTGACGGGGACAGCCGCCGGGCTCAGGACGCAGCGGTGCGCGGCTCCTCAGGGCGCCCCTGCCTTCTGCTGGGAGTCGGGCTGGCCCCGTTCAAGGATGGAGGCCTCAGGGCTAGATGCCTCCGCCGGGGCAGCCAGGGCAACAGAACATTCCTCACACAGAGGTGACACACAGGATTTGCCACCGGCCACTGCCGGTGTCCTGGGGAGGCACGTCAGACGGGGCGTAGCCGGGTGGCAGCGGCATCCATGGAGCACCCGCTGGTGCCAGCCCCGCACTAACGTCTGCACGTGCTCTTCCGCTCTTCTTCCACGACTCACGGCAGGTTCTGAGTTCCTTCCGCAGTGGTGGCTGCCTCCCCTCCTCCATCTCGCTCATTCTGAACTTGGAGGGGCTCGGTGACAGGCAGCCTGCTGTGATTTGCTAGGCCTACCCCGGTGTGTCCCGCCAGGCGTTTCCGAGGGTGTCCTCTGAGCCCCTCGTCCTCCCACAAAGCAGCGCCCACCCCCAGAGCTTGGGGCGGCGCGAGCCCCTGGACGTGGACACACCTGCTGGCGGACGGACTCACCCCTCATCCCACCCACCATCTCTCCTTGTGCCTCCAGCTGTTCAACATGTACCCCTGGCTTGGGGCCCTGCTCCAGCTGCACAGGCCTGTCCTGCGCAAGATCGAGGAGATCCGCGCCATCCTGAGGACGCTGCTGGAGGCGCCGCAGCCCCTCAATCCCGGGGGACACCCCGTGCAGAGCTACGTGGATGCTCTGACCCAGCAGGGCCAGGTACGGGCAAGGCCAGGGTTCCCCTGAGGCCTGTGTGGAATCTTGAGGGCCCACCCCAGGGGGAGCAGGCCTGGGGAGGGTCTGTGCTCGTCCTGCACCAAGCTCCCTGGCCTCCTGGCTGGGGGCCTCTCAGAGCCTCAGCCTCTTCGTCTGTGAAGTGTGGGCATTCGTGGGCGGGGGCTGAGGTAGAACTCAGGGCTCTCAGGGCTCTGGGTCCCTCCTGCCAAGCCTGCCTTCTTGAGCCCAGGGCTGGTCTGGGTTTAGGGGTGGTGGGGTCAACCCCAGAACCCCCAGCTGAACTCCACCTCATCCTCAGGGGAACGACCCCGAGGGCCTGTTTGCAGAGGGCAATGCGGTGGCCTGCACCCTGGACATGGTCATGGCCGGGACGGAGACCACATCTGCCACGCTGCAGTGGGCCGCCCTCCTGATGGCCAGGCACCTGGATGTGCAGGGTGAGGCCCCTCGTGGTGTGGCCCCCGGGGCGAGGGTGCAGGCTCCCGCTGACGGGTGCCCACCCCCTGCCCAGGCCGGGTGCAGGAGGAGCTGGACCGCGTGCTGGGCCCCGGGCAGCCTCCCCGGCCAGAGGACCAGGACGTGCTGCCCTACACGCGCGCCGTGCTCCATGAGGTGCAGCGCTACATCACGCTCCTGCCCCACGTGCCCCGGTGTGCAGCGGCCGACATCCAGCTGGGCGGCTACCTGCTCCCCAAGGTGGGAGGGCCAGGCTTGCGCCTTTGACCCCGCTTCAGGGTGGGCCCGAGAAGGCTGAGTCTTGGGGCTGGTGCCTGGCGGCCCAGGGCTGCCCCGTCAGGAGCAGAAGGGTTCAGCCAGGAGCCCCTCGCTTCACAGCCCTCGGGCCAGCCCCACGTTAGCTGCAGACCTGGGTGCCTCACTGTGTCCTGGGGGTCTTCTCTGTGTGTCCTTGGAGGTCCTCACTGTGCATCCCAGGGGGTCCTCGCTGTGTCCTTCGGGGGTCCTCACCGTACATCCTGGGGGGTCATCACCGTGTGTCCCAGGGGTCTTCTCTATGTCCTGGGGGTCTCTCTCTGTGTGTCCCAGGGTCACATGGCCTCCCTGGCCCCAGGTTTGTCACCTGTGGGGTGGGCTAACACCAGGTGCGCCAGCTGAGTCGGGAGCTGCCCAGACCAGGGCCCTTTCTGCACTCCTCGCACACAGGGCACGCCCGTGATCCCCTTGCTGACCTCAGTGCTCCTGGACAAGACACAGTGGCAGACCCCAGACCAGTTCAATCCGGGCCACTTCCTGGACACAGATGGTCAGTTTGTGAAGCGTGAGGCCTTCCTGCCTTTCTCCGCAGGTACAGCAGCCCTCGTGGGTACCCTGGGACTGGGGCCTCCAGCTCCAAGTGCTGGGGGCTGCAGGGGCTGCTCTCCCCTCCCCTTGGGGTGTCTCTACCCCTCAGGAGCAGGCCCAGTGCACCCCACTCTGTGCCTTGGTTTCCCTCGCAGGCCGCCGCGTCTGTGTCGGGGAACGCCTGGCCAGGACCGAGCTGTTCCTGCTGTTTGCTGGTCTCCTCCAGAAGTACCGCCTGCTGCCCCCACCTGGGGTGAGCCCTGCAGCCCTGGACACCACGCCCACCCGGGCCTTCACCATGCGGCCGCGGGCCCAGGCCCTGTGTGCGGTGCCCAGGCCCTAGGGTCACGCCAGGGGCCAGGCCCCCAGCACCAGGCCCCCCCAGCTCAGGCATGCTCCTCTGGTCCCTGTGGATGGGCGGCAGGCAGACGGCCCCTCGCTTGGCTCCCACCTTGCCTGCGGCAACCACAGTGCTGTGTCTTGCAGGCAGGCAGCTCTCGGCGCAGACGGTGTCCACTGTGTCCTGAGCAGCTCCCCAGTGGGGGCCAGAATTGCAGCCCTCATCCGGGCACCATGGGGGCAGGGTGCCCCTCCCTCCCCCACAGCCCCACCCCGGCCCTAGTCCTCCTGAGACCCTTCCCAGGTGCCACACCCCAGGTGCTGTAGACCCCTCCCCATCTGGCCTATACCCCAGGGCAGCCAGGCCCCACACAGAGGTGGGCTCCCTTCCCCTCACTGTCCTCCTGACCCCCCAGACCCCAGGGGATCAGCAGCTGCCTCTGGCTACACCAGGCCTCCTCCCGCCAGGCCCTGCGGGACCCCCCATGCCTGGTCTGCAGCGCACCCCCCACAACCCCAGCTGCGCCTCCCCACCGCATCCAGTTCCTCACCAGCTGGGGGTGTGGGAGACGGCAGGTGGCAGCTGGGCCTGGGTGATGTCCAGCCAGGGCCCAGCCTCAGACAGGAGTCCTGGGAGTGTGGCCCTGCACCAACCAGGCCCTGGGGGTCCAGCTGGGGCTCCTGCAGGCCCCACCCCATTCCAGAAGCTGCTGTGGGCTGTACCTGGGGGTGGTCTATCTGCAGCGCTGGGACCTCAAGCCAAGTCACTGGGTGCCGCCTTGGTCCTCTGCGGGCATGCCAGGCACAGGGAGGCAAGGCCCGGCGTGTGTTCCTCCATGTGGCCACATGCTTCTCCAGGGGTGGTGCTGGAGCCTGAGGCTCCCTGGTCTGCCCGTCTGCTGGGGCCTGGAGCTGACCTATTACCTGGGCCTCACTCTACCCACCTGCGAAGTGGGTGATGGCAGCCTCAGGACCAACACGCTTTGTGGGGAGGGTGCAGGGCGCTGAGGCACCCCAGTCTGAGAATATCCGTCCAAGGGGCCAGCCAGGCACATGAAGGGTGGTGGCTGCTACAGAGAGAGAGGACATGCATAAGCCCCAACCCCAGAGGATCACCCTGTGCTAGCCTCTTCAGGGCTGGGGCATGGTGCCTGAAACAGGGGTGCTCCAAACCTCCAGCACCTACCTGGGCTGGGGGGGCTTTCCCGGCACCCCCACCCCCACCCTGGGGGAGGCCAGAGACCCCTTGGTGGGAGCTGGGCCAGGCAGGGATGGCCACCAAGAGCACCAGCTACATCTGGGGCCTACCTGGGGTGATGGAGCTTGGGCATCAACTTCATGGGACCCTCGGGCAGATGGGGAAACCGAGGCCCTAACGTGCCCAAAGCCCAGCGAAGCTTCCGTCCTCCCCCACATACAAGATGCACACTTCTTGAACTTGGGCCTCTGAGGGACACACGTACCCAACACGCTGTCCAAAATTCAGACTTCATTGGGCCCTGCATCGTGGCAGGCAACCCTCTGTGAAACTGGCTTCTTTCTGTTCAGGCCGCTGGCCCAGGAACCTGGCGGGGTGGAGGTGGCGACCTCTGCAGGCCGTGACCAGGGCGCGTCACTGTGCAGTGGGCATGGCGCATGGCGGCTCTGGGCTGGGCTCAGGCGTCAGGCGATGCGGGTGACTACGCACAGACAGCCCCAGGGGTGCCTTCCGTGCAGGAAGCCCTGGACTCCGGAGGTCACTGTCGGGTGCCCCACCACGTGGCAACATCGAAAACGTCTGGCCGCGCTGTCATGTTGATGTGTGCCGGCCATGGTGCTGGTGACCATGTGGAATGGGGCGATGGGATAGACTGGGTCCCCAACCAGGCCCCCATGTGCATGGGGGGGCCCTTGGGGAGAAAGAAGGGGCTGCAGCGAGTGCTCCAGGGCGCGGTCAAGTGACCAGGATCCCAGCAGGCAACTCGACAATCAACACCGGGCTGGGAGCGGCCCGTTTCCTAACCTGCTTTCCAGACCTGCTGAGCTCCTGTCATTGTGAGGACGGGAAGGGGTGATGGGAGAGGAGGGTGCTCGGCTGTGTCCTCTCACGGGCTTCTGGGGAAGAACCGGGCGGTGGGTACTGAGCCCTGGTTTCATTGTTCTCTTCTTGGACATTTGGAGTATCTGACGCTTCAGCGTGGGGCGCAGAGAGTACGGCCGGGTGGTGGCAGTGCCCCCAGCCTCTCCCGGCACCAGCGGGGGGCACATGGCGCAGGGAGACCCCGTCCACCCCAGCTGCACCCCAGCAAGCTGACATGGAGACTCCTCCGAGTGGGAGGGGACGTTCCAGGGCCCGGCTGCGGAAAGGTCCTTCTGAGCTGTTGTCTGAAGACCCCCAGTAGGCCCCATGGGAGTGGGCTCTGGGGGAGGACTCGGCCACCCTCCCGGCCCCTGCATGGGGACCTGAGGGTGGGGGCCCAGGAGAGCCCAGGGCCTCTCTGAGGAAGGAACACTGGTCCTTCTCACCCCTTATGGAGCTCCCCTGCGACAGACACGCAGGACACTGGAGCAGAGCGACGGGCCTGGCGCCTGCCCCTGACATGCACCTGTCACGCGGCTCAGAGGACAAATCTCCGGACCCATAATCCGACCCCCGCTCCCCACCAGGCCCGACTCAAGCGACCTCTCACCCCATTTCACCCATGAAGAAATAGGCCAACAAGACCATGGACTCCTTCTGTGGGGGTGCAAGGCCCCCCAAATAGGCAGTCTTAACCACCCCAAGTGTGAAAAAGCGTAACTTGGCAAAAACAGCGTGAGCAGGAGTCAAAGCTTTATTGAACTCACTCCCGAGGCACGAGCAGGACGCCAACACCAGGTCACGAGGGACGCGGAGAACTTGCAGGGAGGGAGGCTGGGTGAGGCCCAAACCTGGGGGCCCACAGGCTGCCTTCTCCGAGGCAGGACCAGCTGGGTGCGCTCACCGTTGCCGCGTGGGCTGGCTGAGGCCCGGGGGCCTGCTGGCAAAGGCTGTCCCAACCTCACTGCTGAGTGTGGTTGGTTTTTTCAATTGTGATAAAATACGCACCAGATTTACGGCACGGTATTCGCCACGCTTAGGTGCACAGCTGGGCGGCGTCAGGCACGTGCACAGCGTTGTGCAGCTGTCACCACCGCCTGCGAACCTTCTCCTCTTCCCAGACTGAAGCTCCGCCCCATAAAACACCGACCCCCAGCACCCACTGTGCTTTCTGGCTCTGTGAGTTTGACTTCTCTGGGGACCTCCTTTAAGTGACATCACACAGGATGTGTCCTTTTGTGATCAGCAGTGTCCTCAAGGTCCACCCACGCTGGAGGGTGTCAGGGTTTCCTTCCTTTCTGAGGCTCAATGACATCCCACCGTGTGGGTGGACCAAGTCGAGTTTGTCCATTCACCTGTGAAGTCCTGCGTCCCAGGCAGCCGGCAGGCCGTGAGCACGCTGGGCTTCCACACCGCACAGCTGAGGGGAGAAGCCGCCGTGGATGTCGTGGGAGGGGCGGATGGACGGACGGCTCCGACCGACGTGGGCAAACCCGCCCTGGAGGCATCCTCACAGCTGGCAGGGGAGTGCCCGCCCTGGACCTGCTTCTGGGTCACGAGGGAAGGAAACTTCTGGGCGGGGCGGGCAGCTCTTGGCGCCAGATCTCCAGGGCTGGCCCCCGGCCACACACACAAGCTTCACATTATCTCCCAAGTCAACGAAACACACCCAGTCCCCGAGCCAGAAGCAAACCGCAGAACAAGCTCTCAGGGCTGGCGGGGCTTTGGGGAGAGAAAGCCTTCTGCAAATAGAGAGGTCTTTAACCCCCCATGCCACCCGCACCCGAGCCCACCGGGCACACACACATCCCATAGGGCTGGGGTCTCGGCTTAGGGACCGGCCCACGACCCGAAGCTCCTTCCACTGTGCAAGAGAGTCAGGAGTCTGGAAGCACCTCCTCTGCTTCGGGACCCGGGCCCTCAGCCCTCCCAGGTGACTGCCGCACTCCCTCAGCGAGGGGGATCTTCTTCCCGTGCTGGATGGTGAGGGGAAGGGGGCAGGTGGCGGGAGGGGCTGGCTGGGCCTTAGTGGGCAGAGGGGCTCGCACAGCTGAGTCAGGCATCCCAGGGCCTCTTTGGGCGGCGCTTACACACGATGCCAAGAGGCTGACCCCATCATGGGCCAGACTCTTCGCCCCACTCTCCCTGGACTCAGGCCCTTGTGAAATGGAAGGCGAGTCCTCGGTGTCTGTAGTTGGGAGTGTATCTGTCCACCTTGCTGTGTAACAAGCGGCCCCAGATTCCATGGCCTGACAGGCCCTCGGTGAGCTCAGGGTCAGGCTCAACCTCTCTCTACACCGATTCTGATGCATGTTCCGATGTGCTTCCAGCCATCATGGGTCTCCTGCCACCTTTGGACCCACATGGTACATCCCCACCTGTCTGGCCTCTGGCTCAGCCCCATCACTTGAGACGCTCCCCACGGCCGCATGCATCAGCAGCTCTTCCCCTTAGATGCCGAGTAGCCTTCACTTTGTTTATCCATCCACCTACTGATGGACATTGGGTTGTTTCCAGTCTGGGGGGCTTTGGAAGGGGATAACAGCAGCCACCATCAGGAAGTTTGCAGGCCCGAGTCATCCGCGCGCACTTGGATGAACCAGAGACTCATAGCTTTTCCCAGGCACACGCAGCCCGAGGCTCAGAGGGTCCCACATAAGCTGTCCCTGGGGTCTCACCAGAGTGTGCCATTTCTGGGAAATAGCTTGGTCCTCTGCACTTGGTTCAAGTTAGGCCTCAACAGCCAGCCTGTCCCAGGTGACATCTCCATGTCACCACCCTCCGCACCTCCACCAAGGAGCCGCTGTTGAGATTGGTCCCTCATGACCACCTGAGGGGGGAACGTTTGTGAAGTGACAGAAGCTCAGGTCTCCAAGACCTTTCCCCATTAACCCACGATGAGGACTTGGTACCCATTACATTTCCCTTTTTGACTTGGCTGCCAGGAAACCCAGAGCCATGGCTCTTAATCCATCAACCCCGATTCCCTGAAAACTATCTGCCCCTTCTTTGTATTTTGCAGATCTTCCGTCGCTACCTATTTCTTTTTTTTTTTTTTTCACCTGCAGTTCCATGCAGATTTTTTGGTGTATTTATTTAAGATGCCTCAAGGCTTAGGAACAATTAGGCGCCCTGATTCTCGACTACCTGAGGCTGTCCTTGGTGCCTCTGCCTCATGAGCACCTTCTGTTCTGCAGTGGCCTCCCTGTGGGGCTGTGATGCTGGGACCCTGGACTGCAGGTGCCACTTCACTCACCTGCAGGTTCATGCTGTGCCAAGTGCCTTCCTGCCTGTGGTCTCACCTGGACTCCTCACATGCCGTCTCCAGCAGCCACCCCGGCCAGTCGTGACACACAGAGCAGGACCTGTGTGTGTGTCGGGGGGCCGCAGCCAGGTGGGGTGCAGATAAGACTTGGGGGACATGACCCTTAAGGTCCCTTCCAGCCCCCAGAGTCTGAGGGTCTGTGGTTACAGGTGACCGGACGGAAAGGGACCCACCTCCTGGGCTCTGGTCACATCCTGCCCTTGCCATGGGCAGATGTGACAGCAGACACCTGAGGGTCACAATCCTAGGTGGGGACACCACTGAGGTGGTAATTCCCAGAGGGCCATGGCCAGGGAAGCCCAGCCAGGCTGAGGACAGCTCCAGGAAGCCCAAGCCCCTTTGTCCAGAACAAGGGTCCTGAGCTTGTGCCTCACTGGGTTGTGACCCGCACCGTGTGGCAGCTCCAGTGTGTGCCGCCCCGTCCACTCCCCCAGGGCTTGTGCCTAGAACACTGTTCCTGTGGAGCGAGGCTTGGTGGGGACAGCTCAGCTCAGCGATGGCCAAGGTGGTCGAAGGCAGGGCCCCTACAGGGGGCATCCCCACATGCAGGAGCTTCCTCACAACACTGTAGCAGGTCCCGGGTGTATCCCCCTCTCCGCCCCCATTTCAGGGGCCACTTGCACCTCACCAGGCTGGAGGCTGACCCAAGTTCAGGGGGAGGGAAGAAGACTCCGCCTCGTGTGGGAGGGATGGCGAAGACTGGGCGGAGCTGTTGAAAACTGCCACACAGATCCGCCACTGGGCCAGGCAAAGAGACAGCCCTCCTGGGTGGCAGCAACAGCCTGAATGTCCTGCTTCATGAAGGAGGCTCAGAGCCACCAGCCTGGCCCCGGCCTTGGCCTCAGCCCTCCCTGAGGCTGTCCCAGAGCACGCAGCCCATACCTCCCCCTCGGCCCTGGCCAGCACCCGCAACCGTGGCCTAGAGCTCCGTGGTCACTGTGACCCTCCCTGACAGCCACCCCAACCATGACAGCACATCTTGGATCACTCAGTTTTGTTGGGAACAGGAAGAGCACGTCCTATTTTTGTGCAGTTAGCGTGTTTCCTAGCCAGGACAGTCACTGCCGACACCTGGAAATGGCAGGCTGGAGGGCGAGTGACCAGACCCCAGATGGCACTCTGAGTGCACCGAGGAAAAGCACCTCACAGTCCACAGAACAAGAGCCACGGCCCAAGGTAGGCTTGTTTTTATTGAAAATACAGCCAGCAGAGTCCACAGGTACATGGTCTGACCCCACAGCCCAGACAGGGCTCTCCTGTGACCAGGCAGTGCGGCCAGGCACTGTCCAGGGAGAGGTGGACATGCCACAGCCCGACCTGCCATAACGCAGGCAGGGGACCAGGAACAAATGGCCCACACTGGGCCGCCCAGTGGAACGTGAGGACCACAGCCAGCTCTGCCCAGCTTCTAAAACATCCATCCCTGGTAGAAAAATAGACGTTTCTTTCAAAAGCAAAAGACCAGCCCCCCACGGCTTGAGGGCCATGTTCAGGGACCAGTGTGTCTGGGTCAGTTCAGAGCGACCACTTTCTCTACGGGTAGTGAAACCTGTTATCTTTAAACCACCTCTGGCCAAGCAGGGTAGGTGGGGAGGGTCTGTCTCGGGTCTGTGGAACTGGAAGGCCCCTCGGAGCCTGGCTCCGCTGCCAGGAGGAGGTGGTCGGCTGCATCCCGCGTGGTCCAAGGACTTCCCTGAGCTAGGGCGGGGGCCCCGTCACACCACCTGCCCCACTAAGAGAGCAGCTGTAGCACCTGCCGGACGCGCTGGGCCTTCCCCAGCAGGAGGGGGTCTGGGCCTCCGGCGCCTGCCTCGTCCAGCTCAAGCATCAGGGCTTCAGCCTTCTGCACCGTCAGCTCTCGGGCCCTGCCCTGCAGTCCCTCCAGGTAGTCCAGCAGGCTGGGGAAGTGCTCATTGGGCACCTGGTGGGGAGGAGATGAGAGTCGGCCAGGGGCCCGGGTAGCACAGGCCTCAGGGCACGCGGCAGGGCAGCTGGTGCCTCCGGCTTCGCCCCTGGACCCACAAGTGGACCAGCCAGCCCAAAGCATCCCTGCACTGGGGCCAAGGAGTGCCCTCTGCCAGTCCCACTCTCTGTCTTCCAGCTTGTGCCCACAACACGCTATCTTGATCGCTGCAGCTTTGCAACTGGGTTTGCAGTTGAGAAGTGTACGTGTGCTGACTTGGTTCTTCTACTTCACTACAGCTTAGCTATTTTGTGAACATTGCCCTTGAAACCAACTCAGGGAGAGCAAACCCAACAGAGAGTGTGTCTGAGGCTGGAGTGTCCTGCTGTGATGTGCCAGGGACACAGGCACAGCAGGAGAGACTGCGCCCACCAACACGCACACACACAGCACCGACAAGCCTGGCATCTCATGAGACTGAGACTCAGGAGAGCTGGTGTGGCAGGAAGAGCCGTGGCTGCCCTGTGGGAACCGTGGGCCATGCAGCCTTGAACAGACACGGGAGATTCCAGTCCCTCTCAGATGTTGGGGTTTTGTTACTAAATTCTATCTTCTCTCATCCCGTGAGACCAAATCTCATATACTGCCCTGAAAAGTGCTTCTGGACACAGGTGGCACATGCCCACACACGGGCACACGTGGGGGCAGGCGGCTCTGTGAGCTGGGCCTGCCTTTGCCATAGAGGCTCTGCTGGAGGCAGACACTGCTCCACTTCCCCCCATGGGGCCCTCGGGACAGTCCTTCCTGGCCGCAGCCTCTGCTGTCAGGCCCAATGCGCACAGACCTTGTCACTGTCGTACATGTGCAGCAAGAGCCACGTTTGCCGCGTCTTCTGGAACCTCCAATCCTTGTGCTTCTGGGCCCACCTGGGAAACCGAGACAAGAAGCTCAGGGTGCAGATGAAGGAACCGCGCCCCCCCCACCGGCCGTGCTGACTAAGCTGGGCAGCCTCTTCCCTGGGGAAGGAGCACCCCCAAGAGCTGAACACCAAGGCCGTGGGTGTTGTGGGGGTTTCATATGGAGACTGTCCCCTGCCGAAGGTGAAGAGGGGACCTGCTGAGGGCAGCGACAGAGCGGAGTCACAGCAGGTTTCGCAGGAAGGGGATGCGTCACCTCTGCATGCACACCGTGGGGTCCCTCGGCCAATCTGGGCATATGCAGCTGTGACAGGACCAACTGATGACTAGATGGCATAGGACCATCTTCTTCCAGCCCTACAGCCCCACGACTTCACCCTAATGTGAACACTGAGTTCGTCTCGTGCTATGGCAGAGCCTGACAGCAGAGGTGCCTGGGGATCAGTGGGCATGCGGCTGCCCAGCCTGGGCCTGGTGCTGGAGTGTGTCCCAGCCCGGGGGTTGTCCTTGCACCTGCAGGTCACCCTCATGTGCAGTAAACTCCCCGAGCAGATTACCATGTGGTCTCCGTGGACCGTACCTGGTGGAGAGGCTGTGGGTCTACCTGGTGGGCATAGGTGTTGGGAGGAAAGGAGGGACGGTGCCGGGTGAGCACCTGAAGCAACGTCTCCTGCATGACCCTGGGCGGGGGCTGCTCAGGCCCAACCCCTGTGGTCAGCACAGTTGCCTGGGGCCTGGGGCCCACAAAAACCTGTGACCCCAGGTCTCCCAGGCTGCAGGCCAGTGCCAGAGAAAAGTCCCTGGAGATAAACACAGCCACGGGCAGGGCAGGCTCACGGCCAGATGCTGACGGTGTCCTTGGAGGGGGTCCTCGGAGGACTCTCGGCAACAGGCCAGGGCAGTGGCCTCAAGGCGAAGACCAAGGATCTGTGTGCACCACACATGGAGCAGGCCAGGTCCCTCCCCTGCTGCCAAGAGACCAGGCCCTGCCGTCAGGAGAAAGGGGGAGCAGTGGCCCTGCCATCCTTAATCCCGTCTGCCCCGAGCATCTGACGGAACAGCCAAACCCAGAGCAAGGATGCAGGTGAGGACGGTGACAGGCCCCATCGAGCTCCGTCTGTATCCTGCTGGACAGCCCAGTCTACTGCTGTGGTGGCCGCCTGCCAGGCTTCTTAGTCCACCTGCTCCTCGGTCCAGCCCAGACCCAGCCACACCCAGGCTCCAGGCTTCACACCTGCAGCCCCCAAGGAGCCTCTGGCTACAGTGACTTCCCAGTTGTGCTTCGTGGTGCCTGTGGAGGACCAGGAGCAGCAGGACGGCCCAAGCAAGCTAGGGATGCAGTGGTCTCATGCCACGGACAGCACCATCTGCTGGGACGAGTACGTCTCTCAGGGTGGCACTGGGAGCCTGCACCAGCCAGGTTCTCCTGGGCAGGAGGCAGCGGAGGCAGCACAGAGCCCAGGGCATGTGCCTGTGCTGGGACCATAGGTCCTCTTCAGCCAAGAAATGAGGGCGCTTCGGCCCCACGTGCTCAGCCACAGGTGGCGTGTTGCTCCATGAATTAATATAAAAACGTGTTTGCAGACAGGATTTGTCTTAGGAGTTTTGCAGAGCTTTGCCCTGAAGGAATATGTGAACGTCTTGGTTTGCATTTCAAATGCTGTTACACTCGGAAGGGCGTCTCTGAAAGACAGTAGCGGCTGTATCCCACAAGGCTCCCCACAAGGCGCTGCGTTTCTCAGACCTAAAGGTTTGGATTTGCTTTGTAAAGCAAAGAGAATCTGTTAAAAACTACAGGATGAGAGCTGACAATGGAGTGCCCCCTGGAACAGACAGCTGCCCGAATGGCTAAAAGCAAAGCTCTTGTTTTAACACTCTAGACTACCTGTCTCCATTCACAATAACCTAATAAATATGGAACCAACATATCTCTGTTTAACCCCTCTGTTAAGTGATAAACTTACCTTAGAACTTAGAAGGTAACCTTTGAAAGATTTTGTAACCGTTTGCTCATGTAGATAGAATTAGTTGAAGAATCTGTAGAAGCCTTTTGGAAATCTGTTAACCTGAGAGGAACTACCTGCTGTTATGTAAATCTATTACCCCTGGCAATTATTCACTATTCCCTATAAGTTACCATGTAAGACCTCATTCGGGGCTTTTTTTTTTCAGCATATTATAGGGGTACAGATGTTTAGGTTACGTATGTTGCCCTTGCCCCCTCTCCCCCCCTAAGTCCGAGTTTCAAATATGTCCACCCTTCGGGTGGTGCGCATTGCACTCTTTGTGTATGCAAATACCCGTCCCCTCCTCCCTCCTCTCTCCTCCCCCCTCCCCCCTGCCCAACATCCAATAGATGTTATTCTTATATGTGCATTTATGTGTTGATCAGTTAATACCAATTTGATGGTGAGTACATGTGGTGCTTGTCTTTCCATTCTTGGGATACCTCACTTAATAGAATGCGTTCCAGCTCTATCCAGGAGTATACAAGAGGTGCTATATCACCATTGTTTCTTAAAGCTGAATAGTACTCCATGGTATACATATACCACATTTTATTAATCCACTCATGTATTGATGGACACTTGGGTTGTTTCCACATCTTTGCAATTGTCAATTGTGCTGCTATAAACATTCGGGTGCAGGTGTCTTTCTTATACAGTATCATTTGGTCTTTTGGGTAGATGCCCAGTAATGGGATTGCTGGATCGAATGGTACTTCTACTTGTATCTCTTTAAAATATCTCCATATTGTTTTCCACAGAGGTTGCACTAGTTTGCAATCCCACCAACAGTGCATGAGTGTTCCTGTATCTCCGCATCCACGCCAACATTTATTGTTTTGGGACTTTTTGATAAAGGCCAGTCTCACTGGAGGTAAGTGATATCTCATTGTGGTTTTAATTTGCATTTCCATTCGGGGCTTTTTGAGACCCACAGAGAAGGTCTAGGCCCCCTGAGATCCCACTTTGCCTATAATCTTTATAAACTTATAAAACTATATCTTTGTCTCTGTGTATTCTTTTATTTCTTTTATTTTGCATTTTTCTCTATTATTTTCTTATCCCTTGCAACTCTACCAAAGGGACCCGGTTTTTTGCGGGGAACATCGACCACGTTCCTGGCAGTGGTGCATCAGCTCCCTGAGCTTCTCTCCTGCAGGCGGAGAGGACATGTGCACACACGTACACACACACGTTCACACATGTGTCCAACCAGCACCAAGGCCTGTGGATTATTGTACTGTGATAACATACACTTCACATAAAACTCCCCACCCTCCCCGTTCCTAACTCACAGCTCAGGGGCACTAGGCACATTCACACTGTTGTGCTGCGTGACAACCCTTGCCTTCCCCAACGGAAACCCCACCGTGCTGGACACAGCCCCCTGCCCCTTGACTGCCCCACTGGACACAGCTCCCCACCCTTGGCTCCGCCTGTTCCGCACAGTCCACACAGGTGCACTTGCGCACGGGGGCCTTTCGCAGAACGCCTCATCCTGACCCCAGTGCAGGGAGCAGCGTGAGTGCAAGGGGACGGCACAGGCCAAGCGGGGGTCCAGAAGTGGGGAGCAGGTTGGAGGAGCCCCTGGCACAGAGTGCTGGGACCCAGGGCAGTGACCTGCAGCAGCGCCTGTGGCTCACCCTGGAGCAGAGAGGGCTCAGAGGGGGCTGCAGAGCAGGCTCACGGGGCAGGCCACGCAGGAAGCCGGGGTAGATTCCAGGATCCACACAGGTGGGGAGGGGTTGGGGGGGACAAAGAGAATGGGGGAAACCACAAGGACCAGGTCACACCGTGTGGGTGCCTATGGCCCAGAGATGGGGTGTGGGGAGAAGCCTGGTCTTCTCAGAGGCGGATACTAGCTGCCCCGGCCCTGCCAGGTTCTGGGTGAGCTGAGCTGGGAGTGGGGGCCTCGCCCTGACCAGGGCTGCGGATTCTCCCCACCCCCACCCTTCACAGCAGGGCTGGGTCATGAACAAAGTAGCATCTTTAGAGAAAACTATTTTCTAACAGATTCCCCAGTGGGCCTCGGACGGACCTTCCTCTTCCATGTCATTCTCTTTCCTGAGTCCAACACTGCCACCCTCGGAAACCCAAGTGTCTTCTGGCACTTTCTTGCCTGTGGGTGCTGGTGCTAAACCCCCTTGGAGGTAGAAGGTGGAGGTCGCAGACTGAAACTACAGCTGAGTGTGCTGCAGGTGTAGATGCCCCAGCCCCATCCCTGACGGCTCCAGACAGCTTGTTTTGCTTCTGCCCCAGGAACTCTCCGGAAGCAACAGTATCAACAACAACGTTGCCTGTTCCTTGCGGCTCCTGTCATGACTTGGCCCAAAGCTTTCTACTGGTGGGAGCCCCCTGACTCTGAAAACCCATTCCAGGCAGGTGCGCCCACCCCGAACCTGGACCCAGGGCAGGGGCCTGCTCAGCTGCACCCCTCCCTGCCCTCCTTGAGTCTCCTCCAGCTACCTTCAGGGCATCCGAGGGCTCTAGGAAGAGATGGGAAGGCCCCAACCCTCAGTTAGGGCGTCCACAGGGTGTGTCAGGGCACGGCAGACCCTTCCTGCTGGATGCTGGTTCCAGGAGTGGCCACGCTCCATTCTGTCCCCCTGCCAGGACAGCCTCCGCTAACTGCCTAGAAGCCAACAAGCACAGGGAAGACCCAAAGGGGCCTGCACCCCCCAGCAGCCCAAGTCCTTAAAGACAGGGTCCAGATGGGGCTCACAATACGACAGTGTCCAGGGGTCCAGCACAGGCCATCAGTCCCCAGCTCAGAGAAGGCAACAGAGGTGGGAGGTGGAGCCAGAGGGGGCGGAGAGAGCTCAGGAGCCTCCCGCCAGCCAGTGACTCGCATCAGCCAGCAGGCCAACTTCTAGAGGAAACCGTCCCCCAAGTTCGGGGCACCCTGGCCCTTCCCAGGGGGCTCCTGGTGTACCACTCATGTGCTGCATATGTCCAATGAGATGCTTCCAGCTGCGTGCCCCCCACTATTGTGGGGTGGTGACACCCTGAGTCCATCACAGACTCAGGGAGGAGCCAAAGAGGGGGGCCCAGCTGCCTACTGGACTCTCCGAATTGGGGACTTAAATCGGCACCAGACTGCAAATCAAAACCACAGCACTACATCGCCCACAGCCACTAGGACCGTCATAATAAAATCGTCAGAAGATAATGAGTGTCCACGTGGTGTGGAGAACCCTCTGCTGGCGGGAATGTAAAATGGTGCAAAAGACCTAGTAAATTCCACTCCTAGGTATGTGCCCAAGAGAAATAAAGACGTATATACATACAAGACTTGTACACACATACATAGCGGCTCTAGTCACACTACTCAAAACGTCACTACTCAAAACGTATCCATCAGCCAACAAATGGATACATAAAATAAGGCACATCCATACAATGGAACATTATTTGGCCACGAAAAGGAACCAAGTCCTGGCATGTGATACAACTCGAGTGAACCTTGGAAACATTATGCAAAGTGAAAGAAGCCAGAAGCAAAAGATCACAAGCTGCGTGCTTCCGTTTAAATAAAACGTCCAGCACAGGCAAACGCACACAGACAGAAAGCAGACGTGCGAGTGCCGGGGCTGCGGTGTGGCAGAGGGAACAGGGAGTGCTGACAGCTAAATGCCATGGGGCTCCTTTCCGAGGTGATGAAAACATTCAAAATCTGGTTGTGGTGATGGCTGCACAACTCTGTGAATGTGCTAGAAACCATGGAATTGTACACTTTACATGGGTGAATTTTATGGTATGTGAATTTTATCTCAACAAAGCTGTTACCAAAAAAACAAAGAAAAAGCCTGAGCGTGACGGCCCAAGGCCGGCATTTTAGTACCAGCCAGTGATGCTTTGGAAAAAGTACCCATTTCCTGGTAAGTCCCGTTGGAACACATGACTCTACTTCCCTAGAAATGTTCCTTTGCAAACAAATCTGTAATTTCACAGTGACCTCCTTTTTCCATGAATCTTTAAAGATTCTTATATAAAACTGTCAGCTAATTATTGGCACTTGAGCCAGCTTCTGCCTGGCTCTGGCTGGGTCCCCTCTCCTGGGCACCAGGTGGCTGCACAGGACCCAGAATCTACGTGCCCCGTGACTCCTCAAGTCCCCCCTTCAAACTCACCCGACGCAGGCCTCTGCCCAGCACCCCCTGAAGCTGTCCCTCACCATGACCCGCTCTCCTGGGATCCAGTGGTCATCTAACTGGAGCATCTACTCATCCCACCTGGATTCGCTATTTCCCTGCCCCACCTCCTGGGACCCCACACCCCCTACCCTGTGAACAGACGGCCCTGCTCCCCGGGGGTACCACAATCTGCTCCCTGAAGCTGTCTACCCTCCTCCAGCTGCATCTCTCCCCACGGCACTTGTCTCTCTCATACTCTATCTCCAGCCCCGTCATTGCAGCGCTGAGGTCTGTTTCCCCACGCTGCAAAGTGAGCTCCCAAGAACGCGGACTTGGCGCCTTCACTGCTGGTTGTCTGGAGGAAGAAGCACCCGGGAAACATGACTGAAGGAGCGAATGCATGAGCACCTCAGGCCCAGGCCCCCTCAGTCGGCCAGTTGGTCTGGATGGGCTGGACCCTGAGGTGGGCACCCTGGCCAGACCATGGGAGACCGTGCCCAACTGGAAGTCCCCATCCTTGCACAGATGGCTCTGCTGCTGCTTCCAAAAGGACCTGGAGACCCTAAGCTGCTTAGAACACAGCAGCAGGAGCGCAGGCCCGGTGCAGATGCCAATGCCCCCTGCTCTAGAACCCTCCTCACAGAGCATGATGCTGAAGCTGTAGGTTCCCCACCAGTCCCTACTAGTAGCACGTCCTGACTTCTGTTGTGTAAACACTCCTGTCATGGCAGAAGTAAGCCTGGGAAGGGAAGCACAGCCCCGTGCCCAGCAGTTCTCACCCGCACAGGTAGGCCAGGGCCAGCTCCGCCCCTGAGCGCCTGGCTGGTAGGTTCTGGGTGGTGACTGCCGCCTCCCGCAGACGCTGTCTCTCTTCCTTTTTCCGCTCCTTCTTCCGCTTCCTCTCCAGGACCCTCTTCTCCTCCGAGGATAGCTTGGGGTCCAAGTCCTGCACCGCTGGGCACGGTGCTCCCCCCTGAAAGTCAAGGGATACCCTCCTCATTAGGCTTCTGGGCCAGATGAAGGTTCTCCGAAGGGTGCACTGCTCAGCGCTTCCCCGCACTCCAGCGACAGCAGCTAAAGGCTCTGTCTGCCCCTGACCGCCCTGGCCCTTGCAGACCGCACACTGGCCAAGACTGAGCAGCAGTGCAGGGGACAGCTCAGACGGGGACGGCCAGTTCTGCAGGGAAAACTGAGGTTTAACTTTGCTCAACCCAGTGTGTGTCAAAGTTAACTGACTACAGATACCTCCCCTCCCCCTCACCGGTGCCACAGCCCCCATGCGGGAAGGCCTGGGTGGGTTGTGTGAGCACCCGGGGGCCCAGGACCCGCTGGGGCTTCTCCTTTTCCTTGCTCCTACAGGGTCCTCTCAGCAAAGACCCTGAAGGGAGGGAAATGATAGCTCTGCCTGGGGATCTTGCCTTGCTCACTCCCTGTTGCAGTGTTCTCCCCAGCCACACCCTGCCCCGGAAGCAGAGGCCTCCCCTCCCAAATCAACAAAGGCACTGCAAGGTGGAGGACGCCAAGCAGCAGGGGCCAAGTGGCAGCCAGGCCATTCCAGTGGGTGGGGGGCCTGCCGTGGTGACCTCAGCTGCTGTCCACATGCTTCGCCTTTCCTGGAAAAAGTCAGAACGTCCGTGTTTACTCTGAGCCAGGCCAGGAGCTGCCAGGAAATGTGTAGAGCGGGATCAGGCCTATTACCCCACCTGCAATCCTGCCCCCACCAGCAATCCCGCCCCCAACCTGCACATCCACCTCTACCTGCAATCCCCCCCACATCCTGCCCCTGGTACATCCCGCCCCCACCTGCACTCCCGCCCCCAGGAAAAGCAGCAAAGCAAGGGCTCCCCTTCCCATCCTCCCCAGCAGGTTCCCTTATAAAATGCCAACCCCCAGATGACCTCTGTGTTCTCACTCTACATGGGCTCCTTCCTGAACCTTCTAAGACAAAAGAGCTGCTCTCTCCAGCTCCCCCACCCCTTTTTAGAAAGAGCCAGAACTTAACAGCAAAGGGAACTTCAGGGGCTGCGCCCAGACAGCTCCTCACAGGCTCACCGCGAGGTAGGGCTGCTTGACAAGAAATAGGACGGGGACCACACAGGGGCTTCCAGTGCGACCACAGGAGGGGCCAGGCGGGGAGAGGCAGCAGCAAGGCTAGGTCTGAGGGTCTGGTTTTGTCTAGGTGGGTTTGCTGAGCTAAAGAGGAGGTCGAGGATGAGGATGGCAAGGACACTGCCAGGGAGTCTGGCCTATACTGGGCTGCCAGCTGGCTGGCTGGCTGGGTGGGCACCGTGCAAAGTCTGGCCACGAAAAGAAGCAAAACCCCAGTGCAGGCCCAGCCTCTGCTGCCATGGGCCACACAGGCTACATTGGCCCCCTGGGCCAAAGTCCAGCTGAGTGGTCAGGGTTCCAGTGGTGGGCCTGTGGGTCCATGGCGCTGCCCCGAGGGAATCTAGCAGGTGGGGGAGAGACAGCGAGGGGAAAAGCACCTGCCTACCCCCGACTGTGAGGGCCACCTGGTATGACCTTTCAGCATCCCCCAATCACTCCGGCAGTACCAGCCTTGTCCATGTCGGCAGCACCCCAAACATAGTGCCTGGCCTCCGATCCCGGGGGTGTGGCTGCTGCCCCCAAGGCTGAGGGGCCTGCTCATGCAAGAGGGGGCTCTGACTACTCCACGAAGACCCCGTGGTATTCCCTCGAGGAAGGAAGCACACATTTCCCAACACCTACACAGCCCTGGGAGAAGGAGGCTGGGAGGTGAGGATGGGGCTGTGGCTGAGGCAGCAGCAGGGATTCAAACACGGGCCACGGGCGCTGGCCTGGGGTGGACATGAGTTGGGGAGACCCAGGCAGCACCACAGGGAAGGTAGATCTGAAGGGGCCTGCAGGGTCCACCTGCTTTTCCCAGGGTTTCCTGAGGGTCCCGCAGGGGCCATCTCTTGTATTAGGCATGGAACCCACAGAAACAGCTTCCTTAAAATCAACTCTCCCTTTTGGCTGCCAGCACCACCAACAGGGCAGTGGTCACAGTCCAAGCTCCGTACTCCCCAGGGAAGGAAGTGTCTCAGAAAGGAGGGTCCTCAGAGAGCCACAAGGACCCTCAACTGCACTGGGGCCCAGGGGGCCTCGGCCCAGCAGGGGCACACAGCACACAAGGGGCTGCAGCCGAGTGGGGAGCACCCAGCTCCTGTCCCCCTGCAGCCCTCCCTGCTGGGGACTGCAGGACCCCTGGGCGTCTTGCACTCCTGATGTCCCCAGGGCTGAGCAGAGGCCAGGACTCTCTCTACAAGTTCTTAGGGGAAACCAAGCCATTTGCAAGGTTCTGACATGTCAGAGCTGGGGCCCTGGTAAGGAAAACCAGCCCTTGGTGGGACCCCAGGCGGTGGCTCCCACTGGTAATCAGACTCGGAAAGAGAGAGGCTCTTATTGAGCCAGGGAGGGCAGAGCCAGCCTGCTTTCTTATCTTTGTCTCATCTCCGCAAAACTAAGCTCACAGAACTGATGTCATGGTGCACTGAGCTAGGGCAGAAGACAAGGTGACGTCTCACGGATGCATCTGAACAGCCCACTCATGGCCACCCGGTGCTGCTTTGACAAAGGGCCCAGGCTGGAGCCAGGACACCAGGGAGTTGTCACCCACCCCCAGGACGCAGCTTCTGTGGCTCCCAAAGCATGACTGGCTTTGCCTGGCAGCGGAGGGCCTGGAGCCAACAGTAGGTCAGGCTGCGCAGGACACATCCTGCCAGCCAGTCCCCAAACCCACAGCCCACTCGACAGTTAGTGGACAAGGAAAGGTGTGCGTTGAGAATCACCATCCAGTACGGCGCCTGGGCCGGGAATGTGCTGTGGAGCACAGCCTCCCACCGGTGGGGGCTGCGTAAGGAGGAAAGCATGGGCCTTGGGGAGATATCCGCTAGAGGGACAAAGAGTAGCTGCCACAGAGGCTGGGGTGCTGCAGCTCCATCCCCCAGCGGGGGTGGCAGGAAGCACAACAGGCCTGTAGCCCAACCCTGCTGACAGGTGAGGACAGAGTCCCAAAGACTCAGCGACTTGGCCACAGCCAGGACAGCCCAGGCCCTGGTTCTCCGCCCCCAGCAGGCTGTGCCCTGAGGCCGCTCCAGCAGAGTGACCAGCCCTTAATCCACGGGCATCTGTTCACAAACCACCAAGAGCACTGTGAGCATTGTCTGTATCCAACTGTGCTGACAGCACCTCAGCCGGAGGCAGGACAAGAGCCCTGGGCAGGCTGAGTGGCACCTGGTCATCCCCTGTAAGTCACCTGGGCAACTGGTGACTCAGTGACTCCAGAGATGTCGTCCTAACCACTCATGCAAGGACAACAGACCCAGGTCCAGAGAAACAGGGAGCTTGCCGGCCACCTGCAAGCGCCTCCCCAAGACCAGGGAATGCCTCCCCTCTCGACTCTCGCCAGCCCAACCCAGGAGTGCCCAGCCAGTCCCACATCTGATCACCAAGTCCTTCCCGTATGTGGCACCTTCCGAGATTTGGTCTAGCTGGAGACTAAGCCTTAATCAGACTCGTTACCCCAATTATGAAAATTCAAAAATGTAACTCACAGTAGCATATTACATTTTCTGAGAAACAATAACAAGCAAAGAGGAAGTGTTTTTAAATTAAGCTTTATCCTTTGAGACAATTATAGACGCACATGCCACTGGGAGGTAACAGGACACCCACGTGCCCCTACCAAGTCTCCTCCAACGACAACCTTTGCAGATCAGTCAAGGCCACATGCGGGGTCCTCACACTGATTCTGCAGCTCAGAGAACACAAGATCGACGGGGTCTTCTCATCAGAAATACACAGCAGACGTGTCGTCATCAGACAAATGTACAGATGCAACTGTTAAACTCTTTAACCTCCCTCCCTCCCTTGACAAAATGTTTGGCTCAACACGAGTGATACTTTTACTCCCTCCCTACACAGAGGGAAGGAAAATACAATTCCCTCTTCCCTTTAGCTCAAGATATCCCGACTAATTCAAGTAATTCCAGAAGACTCGCCCACACCAACAGTTCCGGAAGTTGCTGCTTTGATGAGCCACCGGGCTGCTGTAAAACACAGCCGTCTCTGTGAGTTGCGCTGGTGGCTCCGTGGGTCCCGGTGGCGCAGACACTGGGACAGGCGCCGGCTCTGTCGTCGAGGCGCTCACAGGCAGGCACACGTGAGCTCCTGGAGGACAGGGAGAGCGGCCGCCCCGACCCGCTGCAGAGCTTCCCAGGGGGCAGCTCCTTGCCCGGACTCAGCTTCCGTCGGGATCCTCTGGCTATGGCCCCTCACAGAATGATGTTTAAACATGTAAAGCAGGACACACGGATGCGCAAAGATACAAACTATAAACTGCAGTCAAAATATTAAAGGCCAGAGATCCAGTGGTATCTGTGCTTCATCAACGCAACAGGTGATAAAACCAAGCGGGCTCTGGCAGGTCCTGTAGTTGTGACACAGAGCTGAGCGCAAGTGATGCGTGAGGTGCCCCCAGGTGGCAGGACAGGGAATGCCTGGCCCACGCTGCTCAGTCTGTGGCCAGCCTTCATGGCAGGAGGACACGCTGTCAGCTGGAAGTTTGTGAAAACACACATGGTCTTCCCTCCATCCAGGTTCAAACTCCCTGAACTTATGAGACTTGGGCTAAACACAAGGACAGAATGCCAGGCCCAGGGCTCCCCTCTGCACTACACAGGAGGGACCTTGGAAAGTGGAGCTCCTCCAGGCAGCTTCTACCCTGCCCGACACCCTCCCCACCGGGTCCTCCATCTCATCCCACCTGGGCCTTGGAGAACATGTTGAGAACTGCTAGACCCACTGTCTGGACACAGACACACACACACTCGCTCACACACACACGTCCATGAACGTGGGCTCCAGATCCCTGACAAAGCCCAGCTCTTTGATTTACAGAAGGGACTGAGAACTTTCCGAGGAAAGGCTGTGTCTAGTCTTAGCACACAA